TTTTAACAAATGAGCCACAGGAATATCTGAGTAAATATACACACTACATCAACTTTCAACCTGATATCTATATATTTTTAAAAAGGTTGTGTTTTTTTGTTTGTTTAGTCATGTTTCAACTGAATTGATTTAAAAGAGGAAAACATAATTCCAAAACAAATGTACCATCAAGTTTACTGTTCATGTTCTAGAATTTCTCCATGGTTCTGTGTCCAGATGTCAATTCAGTAGTTTTTTGTTGTTGTTTTGTTTTGTTTTTGTTAATATATTTTTATTGATTTCAGAGAGGGAGAGAGAGATAGAAACATCAATATTGAGAGAGAAATCATTGATCGGCTGTCTCTTGCACGCCCCCCACTGGGGATCAAGCCCACAACCTGGGCATGTGCCCTGATCAGGAATCAAACCGTGACCTCCTGGTTAACAGGTTGACGCTCAACCACTGAGTCACACCAGCCGGGCTCAAATTCAGTAATTTTGATGTATAAACTCAGACAGAGAGTATACCACTCCCCACCCTACCTCAAGATCCATACTGATAAAATCATCCAGGTTCATTTTGGAATCTCCCAGTTTCAATGCAAGGATATGATAGAGGAGGCTCTCTCCAGTTCCCACTGGAATCTTTCATGTGAGATCAGTCAGAAGCAAAGTTCTTCAAATAAGAATCTGTGCCATAAACTTTAAAAAGAGGCATCTAAAAAGGGAGGGGGGGGGTGGAAATTGATGGTATCTACCAATCCCATTCCCACCTACCTGAAACAATATTAAATCGCCATTTTGAGTAAAACAAATCCAGAAAATACTTGCTAAAACCCCTTCTCCAAAATTTGGAGATAAGTGAAAAAAATGGAGTGCCTTAGGCAATGTTAGGAGGAGTTAATACTCCAGGCTTTGCCATTTTTCAGGGATCCATGAAGAACTGAAAAAATGAACTAAAGCCTGAGAGCATCTGTCCAAGAATAAAATACACTCGCAACTACTTCAATTGACCTCAGGTGTAGACTATTTAACAAAATCTGAGATGAAAGAACAGAGCTCAGGTCTTGCAATAAAAATAGCATGTAGCTCCAATGTCGATAAGCAGCCTATAAACTGTAAGAGAAACAAATCTCAGACAAGGTAGAACGTGTCCAGAAAATGTACCTACATCAGAGCAAACTGAAGTTCTGTGCACATTAAAAATGAACTAGATAAAAATTAATGATATAGCACCCTGACCGGTTTGGCTTGGTGGATAGAGCGTCAGGCCATGGACTGGGGGCAGGGGGGCGGGGGGGGTTCGATTCCAGTCAAGGGCATGTACCTTGGTTGCAGGCTCGACCCCCAGTGGGGGACGTGCAGGAGGCAGCTGATTGATGTTTCTCTCTCATCAATGTTTCTAACTCTCTATCCCTCGCCCTTCCTCTCTGTAAAAAGTCAATAAAAATATATTTTTAAAAAATTAATGATATAGCAATGGCAAACACACACATAGAGGATAAAACAATAAAATGAAAAAAGAATTTGTAGTGTTAAGAAAACTGAGCAGCAAAACCACACCACTGAGAGCACTCTCCATCCTGGGAGCACAGCTGCAACTCTCTCTTCCTCCTTCTCCTTCCCCCAGCCAGAACTCAACTACTGACCCCACTGGTGTAACACCTGGTGCTGTTCCCACTGCCTACAACACTACGGTGCCGTGACTTGGGTTGTGACTCAGATTGTGTGGCAGGATTCCAGAGAAGCCCACCCAGGACCACCTTGCAAAACCAAACCAGTGCTATGTACCAGCAGGGACCCATCATGTTCCACCAGCTCCTCGCTTTGCATCAGGTAGACTTGGGTGAGTTTTTCTTGGAATTCCAGACCTCTTTGGTTGAAGAAAGCACATTCTAACCTGGCTGGGAGTTGTACGCCATCCCCTGGAATCTGGGAGTCAACCTTGGACCTGGGAGTCTACCTTGGAATATGGTCCCTTCTCATCCAAGAACTGCCTATTATCATGGAAAGATTAACAACCTTGCTGTGGAAACAATGGAGTCCCCACTCTGTCCTTTGCAAATCCCCAGCCCACACTGCCTGTAATCTGTAACCATTATATCCATTCTCACTCTTTTTTGCCTACTTCCCCATCTCTTTAATACCCATTTTTTCATACCCGTTCTTATTCCTTTTGCCTACTTCCCTGTGTAAGTTTTGTCCTTCTGCCCAACATAAGCAACTGGCTTATGGTGTATGTGAGGGGCAGAGCAGATTTCCATGCTGCTTTCCCATACTGCCAGCATTATTGGAATATATACTCAACCACACTACTGGACTAGCGAGTCTACAAACTATCATCCCTGAAACAAATTCAAAACACCACCTACTTTTATAAAACTTTATTGGAACACAGTATTATATGTGGTTGTTTCTGTACTGCAATAGCAGAGTTAAGTAGCTGCAATAGAACCCATAAGGCTCACAAAGTCCCAAATATTCATTTACCAAGGGGTCCTTTAGAGAAAAAGTCTGCCAATACCTGCCCTAGAGAATTAATGCATCATAAACAAGCCAGCCCTCCAGTCGTGAGCAACTCTACCCCACCTCTGTGCTGCTGCTTTCTGGTGCGCCCTGAAATTAAATGTGCACGAGTGTAACACAGTGTGAGTTGGTGAGTCACATTGTGGCCCTTCCAACCACAATGGCCCCTGACAACTACCACATTATTACATACCTTGAAAAAGGTATGCTTTTCATCCTCAGTGTAAGCCAAGCACCTTTGATAATATATAAGAACAGCTAACATTTACTTAGTTCTGTATGTTAGGTCTACTGTGCTTTTATAAGAATACAGTCATGTCCCACATAATAACACTTGGGTCAACAATGGACCACATATACATCAGAGGTACGTAAGAATATAATGGAGCTGAGAAATTCCTATTGCCTAGTGATGTCATAGTGTAATTCTACTCCACTTTCATTTTTGTTAAATCCTCACCCAAGGATATTTTCCCATTTATTTATTTATTTATTTTAGAGAGCGGCAAAGAGAGGGAAAACCAGAGAGAAACACATCAATTGGTTGCCTCCTGCATGCACCCCGACCAAGGCCTGGGCTGGGAAGGAGCCTGCAACCAAAGTACATGCCCTTGACCAGAATCGAACCTGGGGTCTTTTGGTCCGCAGGCCAATGCTCTATCCACTGAGCCAAACCATCTAGGGCTCCACTCCATTTTAAAATAAATTTAGTGCAGCCTAAATGTACAGTGTTTATAAAGTCCACAGTACTGTACAGTATTGTCCTAGGCCTTCACATTCACTTACCACTCACTCTCTGACTTAGAGCAACTTCTACTCCTGGAAGCTCCATTCATGGTAAGTGCCCTATACAGGCGTATAATTTTTTATTTTATTCCACATTTTACTGTATCTTTTCTATGATTAGATATGTCTAGATGCACGGATACTTACTACTATGTTACAATTGCCTATAGTATTCAGGAACATGCTGTACAGGTTTTTAATTGAGCAGTAGGCTATACCATGTAACATAGGTGTATCATAGTGTTAACATAAAAAACCATTGAAACCTGTAAAGAATTTCTGTGAGTTTATTTGAGCCAAACTGTCGACCTATGCTGGGAAGCAGAACCTCAATGAATTGAGATAATGCTCCGGAGAATGGCGGGTTACATCTGTATTTATACATTGCAATCAAAGGAAAGGGAGAAAGGTAGGTTACATGAAATCCATTGGTGATAGACTAGAGAGGTGGGAGAAAGCAAAGTGGGGAAATCCCTGGGATTGGATAAAAAGTAAAACGATAGACACGTACTTCAGTGGGTGCAGGAACAATTAACATGATAATGAAGGAATTTGTGGTATCTGTCCTGGCGCCCAGCACATTAGGTTGTGCCCCAAGGGGGTCCAGAAAAAGGGAAGTTACTAGTTACCCAGACATTTCAAAGGGTATGTTATTATAGATGCAAAAAGACAGATAGGCTCAGTGAAGGTAAAGGTTGACCTTGTCAGTGAAGATACCGGCTTAGGAGGTGACTACCCACCATCACTGCTTTTAGTTAAAGTTTAATTTCAGACCATCCTTTGTGGTGACTTTAGGTCTCTGAGTTTGCAAGACCGCCATGCAGGCCTCCCCTGAGCTTGTCAGTTAAGCATGTGACCCCTTTCGTCCACAGTAGGCTATACTATCTAGGTTTGTGTAAGCGCACAATTGCCTAACAACGCATTTCTTAGAATGTATCTCTGTCACTAAGTGACACATGAATGTACAGAAACAATGGTAAAGCTGACACACAAATAAAGTTTAGGCAATATTACCTCAGTAAACAATACTTCCCTATTGAATAATAATCCTCCTTTACAGATCAATCTAAAAATGAGACAATGAGGAAGGAGAAAAATCAGTCTCAAAGTTTACAATGCTCATTCTACCTCTATAAACATGTTTTATTGGAAGTCTCTTTGTGGTAAACATTTTAGAGATTTGTTTACTTTATTAATTTTCAGGAAAAAAAAATCAGGCTGTAACCCTGGTGATTGAAGATTTATAACTCTTTCGAAAGATTACAAAGTGGAGTGCAAAATGACATGTTCCTGCTTTGACCTTGGCTAGGAATAAATAGAAAGTACATTTTAATCTCATTGGCCATTGGGTCGGGATTTACAACTTTGAGGAAAATATCCCACTGGACTAGCCTGTTACTGACTCCTCAAAGCCCTAATAAAAGGTTCCACAGCTCCCTTGGGTGTTTTATTATTATAATTATCAAGCAGATCTTAACATTTTTTCTCATTTGAAAATAATTACACAGTCTAATACAGAAAGAATTTTTGTTCAGAAGTAAAATTTCTCAAAAGGTACATGCCTCATTGTAATATGGTCACTATTTTGTATATTCTCTGTGACCACTACATTTCAATTTTAATGGCATTCAAGCACCCAAGACATGTTAGAACATGCTTAGATATGTAAGCTAATCAAACATTTTAGCATTTATTCTTCAAATATTTACCCAAGCCAAATCATGTTCTCCAGACACTGTGTGAGGTGCTGGAGATGGATAAATGAGCCCCCGGATTTTCGGAATTTAAAGTCATGACTGCAGATGAGCTCTTCCACGATGGACATGTAAAAGAGAGTTGGAGGAAAACGTGTCTTCTCATGTGCGAACTCCAATCACTTGGTGCTTGCCTGAAGCATTTTTGAGAATTCTAGGATAGCATCGAGGATAACAGAAAATTGCCCAAATCAATTAGCAATGTCTGCAGCGGGCAGGCGTGATTTGGTTCATATTTTATATTCACGATTTCTGGCAGCATTAAAAGAAAAGGGACCAAGTGTGGAATACTGGATGTCAATATTTAATGCATGGGTGAAGGGAGGGGCAGAGCAGCAGAAAACTACCCAATGGCAACATCAAGAAACTAAAAAGAAGAGTTCCCAGGAGGAAGCAGGCAATAGTATCAAATGTCATATTCCTTGAAAAAGGAAGTTTGGAAAGTTGTAACTCATTGGTGATTTCCCTGAAAGCAGTTTCAGTAGAGTGGTGGAGTAGACACCTAAGTACAGAGACTAAAGAAGTGATACAATTTGCATTTCTAGAAATCGAAGATTCCTCACACTTTACACTATTCCTTAATACAGAATAAAGTATATTTGGCTTGGGGGTTATTTCTTTGTTCACAATTACGTACCCAGAAAGTGCAACTTCTAGACAGTGCTTTTCTGGTATGTCCAAATCTCATTATACCATTTTTCTCTATAAACACATATAATTCTCTTATTAGAGCCTGTCTTATTTTTCCTTTTTAAAATATATTTTTATTGACTTCAGAGAGGATGGGAGAGGGAAAGAGAGATAGAAACATCAATGATGAGAGAGAATCATTGATGGGCTGCCTCCTGCACACCCTCTACCGGGGATCGAGCTTGCAACCTGGGCATGTGCCCTTGACTGAAATTGAACCCAGGACCCTTCAGTCTGCAGGCCAACACTCTATCTACTGAGCAAAACTAGCTAGGGCGTGTCTTATTATTCTGATGCTACATTCATACACTTAGCCTTTTTTGCTAAATTTTTTATTTTTACTTTTGCTAAATAGCATCTTCTGTTTCAATAATATAAAATATGCTATTACTACACAATATTTACAGCTCCCAGGATATCAAATTATCATTCAGAATGGCTCTCCTTAACTAAAGTTCAATAACGAGTTTTGGGTCTTCAGTATCTAATCTATTAATTAATACCTTAGGTTTTTTCAAAGTTTTTTTTAGAATATATAAAGATCCTAATTTGGTTCCAGAACTTCTATGTTATTAATTCACTACGGAATACTTCATCTATGTCACATTGCAGTGAAAAATGAGAAATAAACGTAATTTCTCAATGTAAATATTAACTAAAATTGGAGATGATTCTATACTCAGTTTCCAAGAGTCACAATGCTAAAGATAGAATAGGATGAGGACAGCCAGTTCCAAGAGCACATCCATGGCCAACTTGCCACACCTCACTGGTGAGAACCTGGAAAGACCAGTTTCCTCACACATCAAGGCTTGTTCTAGGGAAAGGACTGAACACAATGTTTCAGATTAATCTTTTTATCCATCTGAACCATAAAAGTAAATCAAGAGTCAGAGGAATAGGAAGAAGCTGAGTTGGGGAGATATAAACCATGAACAAATGCTGAGAGTTGTGCCCTAGAGTCTACTAGTAGAATCTACTTTGACGCTGATAAAAATGATTTTTCACATCTAAAAAATGAGGGAGTAGAGCCCTAGCCGGTTTGGCTCAATGGATAGAGTGTTGGCCCGTGGACTGAAGGGTCCCGGGCTCAATTCCAATCACTTTGGTTGCAGGCTTGATCCCCTCCCAGCTCTGGTCGGGTGTGTGTGTGAGGCAACCAATCAGTGTCTCTCTCACATTGATGTTTCTCTCTCTTTGTCTCTCCCCCTCCCTTCCACTCTCTCTAAAAGTCTATGGAAAAATATCCTCTGCTGAGGAGTAACAAAAAAATAAAATAAATAAATGAAAATGAGGGCGTAGAGTTAGAAGGTCTCTAAGGTTCTTTCCTGTTCTAACACCCCATGCCACCATGAGTCCAGTGACAGGAAGACAGAATAAGATACTGAGAGCCCTAACTGGTTTGGCTCAGTGGATAGAGTGTCGGCCTCCAGACTGAAGGGTCCCGGGTTCGATTCCGGTCAAGGGCATGTACCTTGGTTGCAGGCACATCCCCAGTAGGAGGTGTGCAGGAGGCAGCTGATCGATGTTTCTCTCTCACTGATGTTTCTCTCTATCTCTCTCCCATCCTCTGTAAAATCAGTAAAATATATTTAAAAAAAAAGATACTGAGAGAAATTAAAACACAGAAGATCAGCTTCAAAGTCAGGCAATAGGAGAAGAGCCTGTTTTAAAGATCAGACTTGTACTTAGGACACTGAAGGGAAACTAGCATGCAAATTCACTCAGAAACAAAACTATGGACATTTTTTAAGCTCCAGGCCTGTTCTGAAGGTAAATTACAATCAGCTAAATGTACCTGTGTATTCAAATCACCCTTGCATAGGTGAGGAAGAAGGAAATGCCAGGCATGAGTCACTAAGTGGGTGAGCTAAACTATGTCAATAGCTGGTGTAATAGCAAAACATTGTTACTAAATATTGGGATAAGATTTATGTCACAACATAAAAATCAGGACCAAAGCTTTGTTGTGGCGCATACAGACCCACAACTTGTTACTTCAATGATCACATCTGATTGCATTAGCAATATAGTTTCCTTTTACTTTTATGTCTAGTGAATATTAAGCCTTCATTTTGGGGGCAGTTCTTAAATTGAGACCAGTCTGAAACAGCAAAATGTTCCATTTCGCCAAGCTAGTCATTATTCATTCTCTAACTGAGTGTGAAAAGATACTTATCTCTTAACTTCATTCTCAATAACCAGTATAGGGTTAATCATATAAAAAATGGAAGGTCAAGTCCCTTGTTTGTTTTTAGAATCACCAAGTGAAATCCAATTCTGAGCAGACGTATCAAGTTGCAGTTGGCATTTACCAAAATGTTGAAAGAGCACCTCACCATGTTTGCCATTTAAGTAATAATCATTTATTCGATTTTTCACTATGTTTCCATTGTACCCAAGTATTTTACATAAACTATCTCATTTAATCCTCAAAATGATTTAGGGGGCAAATATCATTACCCTCATTTTACAGATGAGGGAGTGAAAGCTTAACAAAATGAAATGTCAACGTGGCAACGTCAGGCTTTGAATTCACTTCTGTAATCCCCGTGGGAGTGCAAGTGTGACAGATGGAAGCTGAGCAGTGGTTGAATTCAGGAGAATAAGAACTTGCTTATTCTAGTAAAATCAGAAGTGACATTCCACTTACCTGGTGATGCTCTGGAATATCCATCAAGCCCTCAGTAAGTGCATAGTGACTGACAGCTGATGGATGAAGCCTGGAATTGAACAGGATAATTAGCAAAGATGAGGAGAGTTTGGTTGTGAGAGCAATTGTGTTAGGTAGGCATAAACGGCGTTATTACCGTTGTTTTGCAAAGGAGCAATCAGAAGCTCAATGAGTAAATAATTTACTGAAAGCCACACAGCCTGAAGGACAGAAGCACATACACACATATAGGTCCTCCAAAACCAAGCCCAGTGTTCTTTCCACAGTGCCACACAACCTCCAAAAGAGTCTGCTCCATGTAATTCAGATAAATTTTCATTTATCTGTTTTCTTCATTGTTTGGGTTCTTACTAACTTACCAAGACTATCTTGGACTTTCCTCCAACCTTAAATACTCTGTTCACAATATATATTCTATATATGAATATTTGTGACCTTGACATGGCCTTGAACTAGATGTAGCACTGCTCTACTGCCTGGAGGAGATGAACTGGACCCTCCTACCCATAAAACCTGGAAATAAGAATGTGTTTACCCATGATGAGGTAGTGATGTTATCAGTGCTTCAATATGACAGGAGATGATCACTTAGAGTGAGCAATTGGAGCCTAGGACAGGCTTGGCATTTGGAAAGAACTCTGTAAATATTTGCTTAGAGAGTGATTTAATCATCACAACCACAGTGATGACTTTTGGTTTAGCCAGCGGACTCTAGGTTAGGTAGGGAGTATAAATCCCAAGGGTATATCATATGACCCATATGGAAAGGAAATATTAAAATGTGTACATAACATTTCTATCTCCTCTTCTTAAATTTTCTACTTTGTTTTATAATGTATATGATATAGTGTAGTGGTACCTATGACTTATGAATAAATGTATAAATATAAGGACACAAATATTAGTATTATACAACAGGGATGAATAATAAGAATTTTTTAATTCTAGTTAAGATCAATTTAGCTGCCTTGCCCACAGTGAGCCCCATAGGGCTCCAAAACACCGATGTAGTGGGTCTCAAACTTGAGTGGGTATGAGAATCATTTGGGTGGATTGTTAAAAATGCAGATTACAGGGTTCCATCCCCAGATATACTGACTCAGTAGACCTGTGGCAGGATCCATGAATCTGTTTTTTAACAACCAGGTAATTCTGCTGTAGTGATCTTAGGAGAAATACAACCTCACAAGGCTGCAGTGGACTGAGGAGTCTCCCCCTCCACCCACCATCGCCTTTCAGATACTTCAATGTCGTTTTGAGAACCAATGGAACAAGGGTTCTCTTAAGTAGGAATAAGTGCATATTGGTTCTGAGTTTAATGCCTTAAATAGATATAATGATAATGATAAAATCAGCTACCATTTGTTGAGCACCCACTTAGTATACATTATTTCTAATCATGACAAAAATCCTACAAGGTGGCTACCATCAGCCTCATTTGACCGAAGAGGAAATGGATCTTAGCGGAGGCTTAATAAGCAAGCTCCCTGAGAGTTTCCATTATACTTATTCTAAAAGTTTTGAAGCCCCAGAGAAGAAGCTTTCTATACAATTTCCCAACAACCCATTGTCCCATGTGTGGGAGAATGACGTTTATGATCTGGATCCCACTTCTGCATTCAGATTCAATTTAAAGGCTGCTGAGAATCAAATTTCATTGTTCACAATGAGCTTGGAAAGCCCAGAGATGGCTTATCTTTTCTGTACTGTAATAACCTACCCACAGTAAAGGTTAAAGATAACTCTTTAAAATGAAAATACTCTCGCCCTAACCGGTTTGGCTCAGTGGATAGAGCGTCGGCCTGCGGACTGAAGGGTCCCAGGTTCGATTCTGGCCAAGGGCATGTACCTTGGTTGCGGGCACATCCCCAGTGGGAGGTGTGCAGGAGGCAGCTGATCGATGTTTCTCTGGCATCAATGTTTCTAACTCTCTATCCCTCTCCCTTCCTCTCTGTGAAAAACCAATAAAATATATTTAAAAAAATAAAATAAAATAAAATGAAAATACTTTGGCCCAGCTGGTGTGGATCAGTGGTTGAGCATCGACCTATGAACCAGGAGGTCAGGTTCCATGCACATGCCTGGGTTGCAAGTTTCATTGTCAGTAGGGGGCATGCAGGAGGCAGCCAATCAATGATTCTCTCTCATCATTGATGTTTCTGTATCTTTCTCCTCCTCCCTTCCTCTCTGAAACAAATAAAAATACTCTGAAATATATATGTAGAATTTCACTCATTGTACCCTCAAGCGCCATCTTTAAAATGAAAGGTTTGAGCTAAACACTTGTGCAAATTTATCAATTCCCAAACGTTAAAAAGGATAATTTACCACTACTTTCAGCAATGTATAACAGTAGTTTACTTAAAAGGCACCTCCTGTCTTCAACTCTCACCTTCTACATCTTCCAATGTGGACTCATTTGCTTCCCATATTAAAGCAAGTGAGTCATCCTTGGGAAGTCCATACTATTCCCAACTATAATGATGCTTAGGAGCATGAAGAAATGGAGCAATTTAATGGCACATGGCTCTGGAAATCTCAAATATCCAATTCTGAAAGCCATGTTAATCACAGTCACACCTTCTCTCTTGGATTGCTCACTTTGAAGGAAACTAGATGACTTGTGAAGACACTCAAGCAGGCCCACAGTCAGGTTAAAGGCAAAATGTAAGGAACTGAGGCCTCCAGGCAACAGCCATGTGAATGAGCCACCTTCAGTCAATGACGCACCATCTTGAAAGTGGGCCCTTGAGCCCCAGTGAAGCCATGAGATGACTGCAGCCATGCCTGACACTTCGACCTCCTGAGAAACTCTGATCCAGAATCATCCAGCCAAGCCACTCCCAGATTCCTGACACTCAGAAATTATGTGAGATAATAAATGTTTGTTGATTTAAGCTTAAACACATACAAACACATACACACACACACACACACACCTACAGCAGCAACAACACTCTTCAGAAACACTCTTTTGCCTCTGAAATAGAATGCCAAAACTACCCCGTGAGAGATTTGTCCTAGAGGGAGTCTGGCCTGAACACCAAATCACTGTTTTATGATGTGTTTTGTTGACTCCTATTCCTAGATCAACCCCCAAATGGTTATCAAGAATAAACATAACTCTCCCTTCTCGCTGGTAAGTGCTGGAGCAGCTGTGAGTCTGGATGTTAATCATAAACTCTGTTAATTGTTGGCCTCTCATATCAGATGAATCTGACCCTGAACTATTCACCGAGCTTATGTTTACCCCCGTAAGTGGCCTAGAACTACATGCAGTCACCCACAATAAAGTCAGCGTGAACACTGATCTCCAGCCTCTAGGAGCTTCTTAGGGTCTGCAAGGAACCTAGGTTGGCCTGTGGTCTGTTGGTGTGACAGTCATGCTATTCAGTCATTGTTTCTATTCTACTCTGTTAAGATCCCTAGGAATTTACATAAACAGGTGAGGAGATGAATCATATATTTCATTTTTGGGTCAAAAGGAAGCAAGGAGGATTCTAATTATTCAAACAAGGAATCTGTTTTGAACCTTAATGGTACCTCTGTGTGACTGTAAATATGACCAGTAAGTTCTTTGGCTAGTGCAGAATGCCACTATAATAAGATAAAAATCAGCCTTGTTTTTAGTTGTTCCATATGAACCTGGTGGTACACCCTCACCACAAAGTTCATTCTCTGACTTCAAAGAGAATTCTGTTGTGATGCATTTAGAACTAAAGAATGAAGTGAAATATATGCCAATATATAATGATGGGTGTAAAGACTTTTAAAAAAAACTTCCTTGCCTATGTTTTTCAAATCACAGGTTTTTCATTTGAAACGGGTTCTGCCCACAGGAAATGGCCCAGATACAACCAATTAGCCTTTTTGATATAGGATGCTCCTTTTTCAGCTTCAATGTCCTTCATTTTATGTATTGGCATTGAGTTTCAAAAATATGAGCATTCAGTGATTCATCATCATTTAATTTCATAAACAAAGGGCAGAGTGTGAAATAACTTGTTTTTAGATTTTAATGCTTATTTTTCTTTGTGCCATAAAAATGTAACTGATAGAAATGTGTTGGGGTCCAACCCCAGCAGGTCCAGGGGTTCCCAAAGGTGTGGACGGAGTCGGCGAAGAAGGAAGGACACGGAGAGAGCGTTCAGTTGATCAGCATGGTTGGGTTCTCTCGCCTGGTTCTATCCAGGATCTCCAGCCAGGTTCTGTGTTTTATTGTCTTGTTACATCTTTGGGAACCCCTGGACCTGCTGGGGTTGGACCCCAACAGAAATGCATCTTAGAGGAGCTGAGTTGCCTTCCCTTATCGCCCTACTGGCCCCCCACCCCGCTCCAAACAGGACCAAGTTGAACCAGTCTGCCATTAGCTAGCTATGGGACAAGTGGCCCTCAAATTTGCCCAATTTTATATTGAAAGATTCGAACTCATGGTGTTTAAACTCCCTTCCCCTGGCAATATTCTATAAACCTAAAATCTTTCTTTTTAAAGAAAAAGCTTGTGAAAAATTAACCCTTATAGTTATAGTTACAAAACTTAAGTAGAATAAAAATAGTCTGGTCCAAGACATTTCCAGATAACCTTTCAACATTTCCTTCAATTGTCTGCATCCTTTCAGAGAACTCGGCATCTTCCTTTTGCCCTCTGGATCTCCCATTGTCCAAGGAAGGGCTCTCTCCCCAGTGTGTTCCTTGGATGAACAAATTTGAGGATGGAAAGCTGGAAGAGTGAACCCTATGGCACTGCAACCAATCTGATAGTAGCTTCTAACCTGGCTGCAGCCATCAGAAATGGACGGTGGAGAGAGCAGAAGTGAAGAATTGAACATGCTCTGTTCCATGTATACAGTCCTCTGTTAATCAATATCCTCTCCTCCTCTGAAAATGTGACCGTGTGAACCCTATTCCGGTTTGCTGTCCTATTCATCAAAGGTCAGACACTGACCACCTTCAGACTTCCTTCAACCTTTACAGATGTTTTCTTTACCTTCCACATTCTAGAAGGACCCACTGTCACAGTCGACCGAGGGCTCCCCTTATTTTAGCATCAGTAGACCCCGGTCCCAGGAAACTCCTCAGTCCCAGACAAAACTGGATGAGTAGTTGCCCTATTAAAAAAAATATTGGCCCAAGAGTTTGTTTTGTTTTGAATTTTTAATCAGCTGCTAGATTTAAATATCAGATTTTTATTTCTCTTTAGAAAATAAAATATCTGTCACCATTTGACCCTCTTTCAGGGCCACAATCAGCAGGAGCTGAGTAACTGCTACCCCAGTAAACAAGTCATGTTATTTACAGGGTCCCCAGGCCTTGCCAAGGGAGGCTGCACACCAGCCAGTCATCACTACCCTAGGGCTGTTTTGTGTTTTGTTTTGTTTTTTTGTGGTGTCATGGAAAGTGAAATGTTCCCTAGAGCTAAGTCTTTATCAGAAGAGACAAAAATGAACAATCTCCCCATAGGAGCAAACATATTTCAGTGTGTGGAAGCGAAG